CTGCCGGAACGTGGGGTGGGAGACGCAGAGCCAAAGACGCAGGTCGGTGTACTTCCGGAATTTGGATACATAAAGAATTTAAACCAAGGACGCAGGTCGGTGTACTGCCGGAACTTGGGGTGGTAGATGCAGAGCCAAAGACGCAGGTCGGTGTACTGCCGGAATTTGGACACATAAAGAGTTTAAACCAAGAACGCAGGTCAGTGTATTGCCGGAACTTGGGGTGAAAGATGTAGAGCCAAAGACGCAGGTCGGTGTACTGCCGGAATTTGGATACATAAAGAGTTTAAACCAAGAACGCAGGTCGGTGTACTGCTGGAACTTGGGGTGAAAGATGCAGAGCCAAAGACGCAGGTTGGTGTACTGCCGGAATTTGGATACATAAAAAAGTTATACAAAGAACGCAGGTCGGTATACTGCTGGAACTTGGGGTGGAAGATGTAGAGCCAAAGACGCAGGTCGGTGTACTGCCGGAATTTGGATACATAAAAAAGTTATACCAAGAACGCAGGTCGATGTACTGCCGGAACTTGGGGTGAAAAAGTTTTAGATTTCACATCGAGGTACAGGACCCGAAAAACTTAGATTTCATATCGAGGTAGAGGACCCGAAAAATTTAGTTTCATGACTAGGTACAAGACCCGAAAAATGCAGTTGCATGTCAAGGTACAGGACCCGGAAAGCTTACATTTTGATGAATGTGAAGTAATTAATGAGTGTTTGAGAGTATTTATGTGTGATGTATGTCATGATATCATGCATGAGTTGTGAATGTAATGAAATGAAATGAAATGAAATGTGATAATTATGCATCAATGTTCTAGTGCGCTCATGAATTGTCTTTGAGATATGAATTTGTTGAGCTTGATTAACATGTGAACCCATTTTTGACAATGATAACCCGCTGATGATTTACTGCCCCAATGTGTTATTGAGAAAAACCACTAGTCTTGATAATGATGCTCCAATATAAGTTGTTTGAAACTTCAACCTCGGAGAATGGAAATGTGATTGCTTGTTTTCCTTTGGATGAAATAATTTTGTTGCCCCAACTTGTTTAAAGTTTAATGGAAATTTACATAAGGATGTTCATTTGTTTTCCCTAATTTTTGCCCAGAATACCTGATGTAGGTATATGTCAGGAATTCTCTCTTTTTATAGTGATACTAAATCGCCTTTTCAGGTTTTCGACTTAGTACCGCTCTCCTTTTCCCAGGTCGCCCTTGTGGGTTTTCAACCTAGCACTATTTTTTGTTTTGTTCTGTTTTTGTTGTTTTCTTGAATTTTTAACACCCTTATGTATACTTGACCCAGTTTTAGGCTTCATGAAATCGTTCAATTTGAGAACATGGGACCCACCCCAAAAACTGCCCCAGTGTGAGATGTTGGAGGTTATCCTTCTATTCAAGACTTTAATTCAAGAGAACTTCCGCTAGAACCATTCCAAAAATTGCCCCAGTATGGGTGACTATTTCTCCTTTGATTTATTGCTCTTTATTTCATGCACCAATCTTTAAAAAGAAATACTAAAACAATGATCATGCAAACCTGGCTAATGTTTGAGTTATGAGTGGTGACGGGAGAGCTGAATATGAATTTGAAGTTATATTTAGGGTTTGAGCATTGATGTGATGATGATGGTTTTTTAAGAGTCAGTGTATTTCATGCATTAATGTGAGATATTTATTTTAGATCAAAAATTCATTTTAGTGGAGTCAGCGATTTTTTATGTGGTGTGAATCTGTAAGTAAATTGATCCTCAACAAGGTCTTTTTATGCTTGTATTGTGGTCTGGCTAGTGGTTTCCAAGAAAAGATATAAGGCTCAAATATGTGTTTCCCATGCCCATTTCTCTTTTCTCATATCTCCTATATCATGTGACCTATTTTTTTCAATAGTTTTCTGACGTGACATTCAATTACTAGGATTTCATTTGGTTTGTAATGTAATAGGTTAAGGTTGTAACTTAGTCCGATAGGATCTGAAAATTTAACTTGTTGGTCTTTTGACAACGCATTTCTTTTACCCTAACTTTTGCCTGAGATATTTAGGATTCTCAGCGGACTTTTTTCGCTTTAACCAACGAACAATTTTATTTGACTTGATTTGGATTCATTATCCTTCGGGCTAGATTAGATGAATGATGTTTGAAGAATTTATTTATTTCCTAGTAATTGAATGTCAAGGAAAACACATGAAAAAAACTACCATCCCCGGTATATTGATGTTTTATGGGTCAATCACAAGAAATCTCCTTTCATTATGTTTGTGGCTCAATTGGGGTGACTAGTGATACCTTCTTAGTGTTTGGGAATTACCAAGGAAGCCTTGTATCATTGGAAAAATCTATCTAAGGATCCATGCCACTTTGGAATTGTATTTGCATCATCCTCCCTTTTTTATTTTTTTATTATTATTTTTTTTAAAATTTTAGTATCTCACTTTAATGCATGGATTTTTTTTGAGTGAATATGGTTTATGGAGATAGAATATGATGTGTTAAATTTGCATGATCAATGTGCTAGTATATACTTGTTAGAAAAAACATGTAATATGAAATAATTTTATTCATAAGAATGAAACAAAAGACCTTTTATTTTGCAATCCTAAAGCCCTAGGTGGAACCAAGAGGGTATATTACAATATAATTTGAGAAATAGCATTTTCGTGGGGTGTGTTGCTCATGAGCAGATTGTGCATCCTACATTTTTTAAATCAAAACACTTCCTTGAAACTTGACCAACCCTTCCCGAATCAGTTCTCGCACCTTGCCTTTTAATTGATTTCAATCCTCTGTCAGATGTCCTAATGTCCCTCCATGATACATACAACAAGCATTTGGGTTGAAGCCATTTGGATATGGAGGCATCACCTCCTTAAAGGGAAGGATAGTTAGTAAACCCCTCTGAACAAGTTGTGGGAGCAACTCAGAGCAAGATATGGGGATTGCATCATAATGACTTTTTCTCTTCCGCTTTCGAGATATTCCTTCTTGACTGTGAGTAGTAGGATAATGTTGTTGGGGATGATGATACGATTGATGTTGGTTTAAAGTTTCAATGAATGATGTATCACCTCCCATCTTTTCATCTGCAGCGTAATCTCGGGTTATGTTTTGAGTTGGATCCTTAAGACATTTGCCACTTCTCAAGCGACTTTCTATTTTTTCCCAATGGTCATCAATTGACGAAATCCCACAGATGCACATCCCAACATCATGCCATAGAATGGTGGCTGGAGAATGTATATGAACATCGACACACTATCTTCATTAGATAGCTTAGGCTTCACTTGAGCGGCCATTTCTACCCATCTTTGGACATACTTAGTGAAAGTTTCATTTTCTCTCTTTATCATAGTTTTTAGTTGTGTCCTATTAGGAGCTATATCAATGTTGTAATCAGATTGCTTGACAAAGGCATCACATAAGTCCTTGAAACACTGAATTTGTGAACGTTCAAGTCGCAAGTACCAAGTGGTGGCATTAGGCTTTCTTGAAAGAAATGGATCAACAACTTGTCATCTCTGATATAGGGAGTCATATTTCTAGTATACATAGTCAGGTGGTCTTTAGGACAAGACGTCCCTTGATACTTGTCAAAGTCTGGTAATTTGAACCTTGGTGGCACAACCAAATCAAAGACTAAGCACATGTCATTGATGTCCTTCAAACCATATGAGTTGGCTTCTTCAATGGCTCTGATTCTTTTATCTATGACCTCAATTTCCTCTCGATCTTGAGGAGTGGTGGAGTGGTTGGGGTTGTCTTGGTCAGCTGGGGTCTCCATATAAAACGAAAATCACAAATCGGCTTCTAAGGTAGGTATATCAATCTAAGCAAAAGATTTATTTCCTCTTTCTGGTTCACTTTAGTCAGGTCCAATAATATCACCTTTAAAAATAATTTTTTAACCCATGAGCACCTTTAACATTGGATCATGAAATGTATGTTATATATTTGGATATGAGATGATGGTGCATGAATAATGTATGTATGTTTTTTATTTTATTTTCTATTCTATGAATAGACTTATTTTTTTAATAATGTATGATGTATGCAATTTTACGATGGGATAATGTATGAAATGTGAATTTTAGATAAAAGTAATTTATTTCCATTAAGAAATGTTGGTATAGTAAGACATAACATCCCACATTTGATTACTATGGAGCGTACCCCAATAGCTTCTTTTGCGTTGATGACACAAGGTCTCGGACCAAAATTGCATCTAGATCGTTTCCTAGCATTGTCCAATAAACATTTTTCCCTGCATTCGACATCTTAGGGCGTGCCCCACAAGTCTGACTGCAGTTGATGACAATTTCAGAGGAAGCACAAGGTCTCAGACCAAAATTGCATCGATTAAATGCAATATATTTTTTTACTCATTTGAGTTACATTAGATAGCAAGATATTACTATAACGCTAAGAACTGATGTATGTGTCTATACCATATCTCTTTCAGAAAATGAATTTGATCACTGAATCTTTTATTTATGGATGAATGGTATGGATGGGGAATGAGTTGCTTTCCTATGATGCATGGAAAATTTGAATGTATTTCACTTTCGTTTCTTGAATGCATGAATTGATTTATTTTTGTCTTGTAGATAATGTGATGTTATGTTTGAATGACCTATTTTTGTTCTAATTTTTTTTGAATAGGTATATGAATGTATGCATAAGTGAATGAATGTTTGATTGATGAAATTTTTATTTGTACTTCTTTTTTTGGATATTCTGAATGTATGTATGAATGATATTTTTGATTTTTTAGATAACGGGTGATGCATGCAATGAATGATTTTTTGTGATGATATATTTTTTATATGTATGAATGGCTAGATAAATGTTTGACTGATGAAAAAATTATATTTTCCCATTTTTGATTTTTTTTGTATGTATCTACGGATGAACATGTGAATGAGAATTTTGACCTATGACTCATTATATGAATGAATGATGTATGTATTTTATTATTATTTTATTGGATTTGTATCTATCGAGACTGACGGGGCTCGAACCCGCAGCTTCCGCCTTGACAGGGCGGTGCTCTGACTAAATAAACTACAATCCTAGGGAAAAAGCATATAGCATACATGATTTTATTCAAACCCTTTTAATTCAAATCGTTGTGCTGTAGCTGTAAGTCACAGAGGCGTGACTTATCTTATTTATATATTGATATTTATATGGATCTGATATATACTTTAGCTAGACCGACACAGATTACTCGTAATCCGTTCGTTATTGCCGAATCGATTGAAAAATGAATCAATGAAAAAAATAAAAAAGAGTCTTTTTTATTTACTTTAATCCTTTCCTTAGATTTTATACTTCCATATCCTGATATGAGTATAGATCATTAGCAAGACTTCGCTCAGGCGAGAATCCTCCAGTATAGCCTAGGATTTCACCCTCTCAGGTGATCCTTTCTCGCTCAGGCGAGAATCTCTCGCTCAAGCGAGACTTCCAGGACTGTTACTATAATTTTGAAGACTCAAATTTTGGGTGTTTCAAATGACACCTTTGTTTGTGCACAATCTTATTGAAACCACATAAATTTTCGGAAATTGTTTCTTAATTTTAAGTGGGGATTGTTGGAACTTAATGTTTTAAATGCATATTAATTGGGCCATTAATGTGGACTTTGGGGATGTGAAATAAAAAAACTTCAAAGTCTCACATTGAATGAAAGAGGGAGTCTGAAAAGCTCTATAAGTCTTAAGTTTCCTCTTTTGGGTGTGCCCAAGAGGTACAATGTGTTTTGTGGTGGATGATGACTAACACAAACAAAACCGCTACACACACGTACACACCACCACTTTCTCCTCCTCTGTCGTCGTCTGATCGGCTCGGTTCTGGCTTGGGCCCAACATATTTTTCAAAAACAATTTTTTATTTCCTTTTTTGGACGTGTGGCTGACCAAGTCAACATGTGTGACACGTGTGTGATTGAGTCAGCACACGGTTGAAGAGTGAGGAGAGTGGGGAGGAAGAACTAGTCAAAGTGGAGGAGAATCCAACTGTGTGATCGTTGGACTACTCCTGATCGTCAGATCACGTGGCCATTTGGAACACAATCTCTTTCATAATCTCTGCCGACACATTTTCGGCCTACTTCTCCCTATTTCTTTCTGTGACACTAGAATTGACACATGCATCAAAATGTAGGAATTTCGAGAACTAACGCTCGTAGTGAAATTATGGGAAAATAGAATTGGCATGGGTAAGCCATAATGTGGTCATTGCGAGAATTGACACTGATAACCATATTGTACTACTATAACAAACAGTGAAAGTTTTATAGAAGAAATTATCAATTGAGCACTATTTAATTAAGTATTAAAGTTAACGCAGAGGTAAAGGGACACGTTCCTTTTTTCTTTTTATGACTTTGAAAGCAGCGAGTACAGTTCTGGACAGTTGATTTTTAATTCCACTTTCTCATGCTGCATCTCACTTTTCTTTTTCTTTCAAACAAAATGGTTTGGAACAATATACTTATCTAGAAAAAAGTAAAAGCTAACAATGTTGTTTTTACACTTCATTTAGACCCTGCTTCGTTTTCTTCGTCTTGAAGAAAACACTGAAAATCCCTATTTTAAAATTAATCACTAGTCTACTACTATTTTTGTAGTTTTAATTACCATTTTTCATTATCTTAATTAAAATTAATGGTGGCTTCTTCTAATGTTGTGGTAAGTTATGCTCCTCAATTCTTACGGCTATTCATGGCAAAGTTCATGTATGTGGTGGTAAGATGTTGATATTGTAGATGATTAGTGTCAGTTTAATTACACATTATTTTGTATCTAGGTATGGCATGTTGTAAATGTCTCTATAAATTTTTTTCTCAACCTATAGTATCAAGAAAAGTGTTCTTAGGAGTGTACCCTAAATAGAATTATGAGTCATTAAGGGTGGAAATTGTATTCAAAATTTGATACTTGAGCTCTTCCCTCCCTTTAAAAAACCTTGGGAATAAAAAAAATTATATACTAATTAAGCATATCCATAAGAAAATCATTCAATGGATTTATGTCTTCACGCATGAGGAGACTTGAAAGTGATTGTTTTGGACATTCTACACATTATGATATTTTCTTATTAATTAAGAATATTATTTATTTTTTAGTTGAGAAAAAACATGTATGTACTCATAGTGTAAAAGTTTTATATACCATTATTACATGATCTATCGTTTATTTTTAACCATCATTGACTTTTCAAAAAAAGTAATACAAATTAATGGTGTATAATGATGCACTGACTTTGTATAAATATTTATACCGACAATGTATAGACATTACAATCTTTTTAGTTTTCATAACAATCATAAAATGTCAATGGTGAATTCAACATCTAGGATAGGATAGGGGGTGCAAGTTGTATTGAGTGTAGTTTTAGTAAATCCAACTCGAGTTGACTTAAAATGAACATCTAAACCATCTAAGTCGTTCGTCTGATTAGCCATAAATCAGAACTAGTATGAATCAATTTGACTCGACTATTTTACGCATAAAACAAATGACTCGATCAGTCAAACTCAATGTATAGATATTTTACGTATGTTAAACAGGCCTTAGACAACACTTTTAAATAAAGGATTTAGGTAACTTGAAATTCTTTCTTGGCTTTGAAATTGCCAAAAGCAAAAAAAGGTATATCAATGAACTAGAGAAAGTATGCTCTACAAATTCTATCTTATACATGCATGTTCGGATGCAAACCTTCATCCACACCTATGACACATGACACTCATCTCCTTCATGATTCAAGTGCACCATCACTTAGATGCTCCTGCTTAGAGAAGACTCACCAGTAGATTCATATATATAACAAACATTATACGTGACTTCACTTTTGTTGTTAATCAATTAGCTCAATTTATGTCTAAACCTACTTCTACTCATTATGTTGCTGCTATAAAGGTCTTAAGATACATTAAAGAATCTCTTACTTTGGGTTTATTCTTTCCTACTAACTCTCATCTGAAGCTTAAAGCTTACAACGATAGTGATTAGGCTTCTTGCCTAAACAGTAGAAGATCAACTACTGGCTTTTGCATTTTTTTTAGGTAATTTATTGATTTCCTGGAAATCAAAGAAGCAAGAGACTGTCTCAAGAAGCTCATGTGAAGCTTAGCATAAAACAATGACAGTGTGACAACATGTGAAATTAGTTGGCTAACATATGTCATTCATGACCTTCAACACTCCTCATTCACCCATGCACTCCTCTAATGTGATAATCAATCAACCATCCATATTGCCTCTAATCCTCTCTTTCATGAGAGAACAAAGCACATAGAATTGGGCAAGAATGTGATAATCAATCGGACCACAAGCCAACATGGCCTGGACATTATCACACCAATATTCCATCTAAACGAGCCAAAGCCTATGCTTCTGACCGAGACAACTTGGCACCATCGGGCCAAGTTGACCAAGACATACACAAATCAACCAAGAAGCCTCACGCACCAGCTGGCTGAGACAGTCGTGCATCCCTCAACCACATGAGTAGACCTCGTGCCGAGATGGACAAGCCTCACCAGTAGGCCACTTGACAGAGTCACCTAGCCTCAACTTGTGCCACAACAGCCTAGGGCTCATACACTCAACATGGTTTGCATACATTCCAAGCAACACTTACATAGTTCATATTCATAATCAAACGACATATGTAATTAACCCATCCAATTAGGGTAGTTATGTTAGTTATTTAGTTACTTAGTCCATCCTTGCAATAAAAGGATGATTTCTTCACTGTAAAAACCAATTCAATTCATTTTAGTGATTCAAATAAAGAAAGAACGAGGTATTTTCCATATTCATCTTCTTGCAAAGGGAGTTTCTCCACTTTAATCCAGATCAAAATCAAAATCTTTGAATAATCACTAAACACATTTGATTAGTTTTAGACATTGATATTTTTGTTGGAACGCGTAACTGCAAAAAAAAATGTTTGTAAGATCCATAGATCTTGTGAAGCCACTTCTTCAAGCATCATTGACCTTCATTTATTCATTTTTCTTCATATTCCCCCCTAATAAGTCTGATTTCTTCTTCCCTCAACTTGATTTATTCTTGCTTAACATTTCTATATTTATATATAAAATCATTTATGGTTTCTCTTTTCTCTTAGAAGCCGATGTACTCATTGGACGTGCCAAAATAGGTGAGATCGGGCTATATCCACATTTGGTTGGTGTTTTGGGGGCAAAAGATGGCTCAAAAGCATAATTCATTGCTCCTTTTGAAGTGCTATCTTCAAATAGTGCTAACCATTTTGGTATATCTTTCACTAATCTTCATTGATACTCATGCTTCAAAGTTGGCAAATGAATCAGAAATGTTACTTCATTGCTACCGCTTGTCTACTTTGTCATAGTGTATTTGTATTTATTTACCAACAAACTTTTGAATAGTAGGATTCAATCTGTGCCATCGATTTCTCACCAATGACTTATCTTTTTCATTTATCTCATTATCATGATGATCTTTGTAATTGTCACAAAATCATTCCCAAAAACTTTTGAAAATCTGGTTGACCCCAATAAACTCATTTCCTAAGGTTCCATCTTAAAATCAATTGACAATGAAACGAGTAGCCCAACAAGTATTTAAATCATTCTTAAGATAATGAGGTAAGCGATGTGAAACCTATTTACTTACATCTAAGAAACCAAAGAAGAAAATAATGGATTGAAATTATATTTGGTTTTCTGCATCATCATAGGTGAGCCAAACTCTAATAAATAGTTATATATAATCATCCATATCAAAACAGAATCATAGTTATCAATTAGCTATTAAAGCATAATCATAACTATCAATAAATTAGTTATTAAAATAGAATCATAACTATCAATAAATTAGCTCCTCATATTTTAGCTAATTTCAAACTTATACATTATAGAATATCATTTGTTGAAATGTTGATATATGATTTTGTGAACAAAGTTTCATCATGTTGATCTAATATTTCCCTCCTTAGCAGATTATGGTACTTTTTAGCAAAATTGTGAAATTTGAAAACATTTGAAGTTATTTTGTGAATTTGGAATAAAACT